AAAAATGCATGACGGATTGTATATGAGGATTTGGTGGAGTTGGTTGTTCAGCATTTGTTGTATGCTGAAAAAAGAAATAATAGGATCCTCTAATCGAAAGATGATTAGTGTATTTTTATCAAAGAATATAGTTTTAGTATAAGAATACAGAGCGTTTTGAGAATTCCAATGTAAAAATAAATTACCTCTATACCAAATCCATGTAATGTTTCATGTAATAAAACATAATATGTATCAAGTTCACATTCATTTTTAGTTTCATTATCACCACATGAATATATGACCGGATCATAAACGAGATCACTTGATGCGAGAAATGTTTGTTGCATATTGAATTTAATTGTTGATATTGGTTGATTATTATCTACAAGTCTTATTCCACCATGAGCACGATAACGATTTTTTCGTGCTATTTCAGCAGGATAAATATCAAGTTCATGATAAACTGTAACATTATCAATTGTTGCTGCTGGTACATCGTCTTTGGGACATTTTGTATAATCAAAAAAAAGAAAATGAAAAGTTCCTTCTCCTGGATTTGATGCTCTATGTAGAATTATTTCATCATCAAGAATTGTATTAATTTCTTGAATAATATGTTCTATACAATAATGAATATAATTTGTATCGATGCGATTTGGATAAAAATTTGAAATCCAATAAGAAATTTCTTTTGGTTTTTGTAAATAATTCCAATTGTCTTTATAATTTACGAATTCAGGAAAAAGAACAAAACGTTTTTTTCTTGTTCCTGCACTGTTATTTGTAGAATATTGAGGTTGATCAACAGGAGTATTTTGCTCTATACATTCTGGTTCATAATCAGATGTACCTCTTTTAACCCGGTTAGAAAATGAATTTGTTACTTTATCAATAGAAAATAGAACAGAAGAGTAAATAAGAAGATAAACAGAAGATTTGAATAACATTTTTTTTTAAACGAAAGTTATTTATTTTCGTTTCTATAGAAATCTTATCTCTTTTTAGTTATGAAATTCGGTAAAAAACTTAAAGATTTATCAAATGCAAAAATTATCGAACCTCAAGTTATAACAGGTATTAATCGTCTTGTTTGTACATCAAAAGCACAAAATGTTGAATTAAAAGGTATATTTTTCATATCATAATTTATAATAAACAAATAAAAATTAATATATTTTAGTAAATGTTGATGGACAAGAATGGAGTAATGTTAAATTCTTTCAGATTTCATCGCAATGGCATACACACATCAAATATTTTCCTTTAGCTATCTTCAATGAATTACGCAATACATAGTTTGTTTTTTATTTGTAGAATCTAGTCATTATACAAAAACATACTATGATGTTTATCTCTTTTGTTCATTTCGTAATATTTTATTGTAATATCTTATGTCTATATAGAATTCTTTGTGTATTTTGAGTTTTGAATTTTTCTTTCTATGTGCTTTGTAACTTCTTGTAATTAATTGCAGAAGAACAATATATATTGTCTAGATCCTTTGCTTCAATGCCTTCTTTTTTAGATCTATATTGTATTGTTATGTAATATATACTAACCTGCGTAATGAGTATGAAACTAATTGGAATTGATATAGTAAGGTCTGTCAATGTTATTTATAATTTGTATGTGTGAGTTAAAAGATAATATTGTGAAAAGATATTTCGTTATGCATACATATTAAATATATAATGTGTTTTTTTTGTCAATCTCATTGAAACAATAATAATTTCGAGATTAATTCAATTTGTTACCTCTTTTTTTTCTCGATAATATCCGTATTTCATAGTTCTAATTCAAGTATGGATAGATGAATGTGGAATTCATTTCCGTTACAAACAAAAGGAAAATTATGAAGAAGTTTAACTACCATTTCCGTCATCTATTATCAAACTATATATTAATAAATAAAAGCATTTAAAAATGATTTATTTATTGTGATAAATAATGTGGATAATCATAAAAAGCTATTTATGATTTAATTAACAACATAGCATATGATAGGCTGATAAATTAACTATAGCTACAAACAATATACTTACAGGATATCTGAAAGAAATTGATATTTCGTGATGTTTGAAATAGATTGCTAATATTTTCTTGATATCGCTGTGATTATAACGCAAATATTAGGATGAATGTTTAGGTCTTTATATAGAGTTTATTGTAATGAATGAAAATTGTTGAATTTATATTTGAGATTTGTTCAACCATCTAATTAATGATGGGAAGTTCGATTTTATATGTCTTGGTTTGTATTCTTTCCATTTTTTTACATCAAATCAATGGTCAACAAATGCAACTTATTGCTGGTCATGTGGTAAAGTCAATTAGAGATAAACTAAATAAAATTTATCATTTATACAATATTTTAGTTATATAGACATGGAGATCGAACACCTGTAACAACATTCCCATTGGATCCAGTAAAAGAAAAGGATTGGCCAAATGGGTATATATTATCTATAATAAAAAAGAAATTCTTTACTTCTACATTGATTCTATATAGTTATGGTCAATTAACGATGGCTGGTATTGAACAACAACATCGTCTTGGCGGATATCTTCGTAATCGTTATGGATCATTATTGAGTCCAAATTATACTACAAGTGAAATTGTTATTCGTTCTACAGATGTTGATCGAACATTAATGTCAGCACAATCAAATATAGTCGGTCTTTATCCAGTATTTAATAAGACAGATGATAAAGTTCCTATACAACCAATTCCAATTCATACTGTTTCGATTAATTTAGATTTTGTATATTATTCAATTGAATAATCAAAACAGATATTAATTATATTCTATTCTACTTTTAGTTACTTGGTCAAAATGATTGTCCACGATATGATCAACTTGAAGAAGAAGTTAATGAAAGCGATGATGTTAAAAAAATGAATCAATATTATGAAGTAAAAATTTCTTTTTCTTCAATATATTATTGTTTATATCAAATATTTTATTTCTAGTCATTTTTTAAAAATCTTCAAGAATGGACAGGTCTTACAAATATCACAGTATATAATGCTTGGGATGTAGCTGATACAATTTTTGTTGAAGTAAATAAAAGATATTTGTATAGAGTATATATATTATTCTTTTCTCCATTAGCATATTTATAATAAAGCTCCAGCATGGGCAAATGATGCTGTTCGACAAAATCTATCGGATGTTAATGATCATGCATTTCATTTCCTTTTTGCTAATAATGATACTCAACGAATTCGAGGAGGTTTAATTATTTAAATATACTTACTATATAAAGAAAAGCAAACAATTTATTGATTTAGGTCCATCGATACAAGATATTTGGTTAAATATGAATAATTCAATACATAAGAAATCTTTTAAAAAAGTTAAAGTGTATTCAGCTGTATGTTATAGAATGATTGATTTATTTGAATTCATAATATTTAATCTATCTAGCATGATACAACCGTCAGTGCTGTTCTTGCTTTTCTCGGTATTAATTATCCTCATCAACCACAAGTAAAATTTGAAAAAAATGTTTTTCATATTTCAATTTATTATTGTTTAGTACGCATCAGCTTTATTTATTGATCTTTATCAAAGAAGTAAAAATTAAAATTTTCTTTTAATCGATGAATATGTTTTAATTATCCAATAGATACATCATATTTTGTTAAAGTTGAATATTTAAATGTAACAGATTCGAATATATCTTATCCATATATATTAAATGGTTGTCCAGCAATTGAATGTCCATTTGATACATTTACAAGTATTTATAAAAATCGTTTTCCAGCTACTGCTGATGTTGAATGTGTGAAAAAGATGCCACCCATGCGTAAATAAGAATATTTGAATTTAATTTTCGAAAAAATAAATTAATTTTTATATTTAGCGGATGATGATAATGGAAAATTACTCATAATTATTATTATAGTTCTTGTTGGCCTTATTATAATCACATTTCTAATGTTTTTATGTATGCACTTACGAAAATCAGATCGTGATCCACCTCTTCTAGGTATCAATCGTTCATCACAAATAACTTAATATATTTTATTGCGAATGACAATCTATGAACTTTATTTTTTATTGATATAAACGATATATATTTTTTGAATGAATTTTTTTTTCTTAAAGTAATTTGTGAATTTTTTTAAATGGTAATTTTGTTTTGATAAAGAAATAAATAATAATTATTAAATTCTATTACTCATATGACTGAAGAGACTGAATATGTCAAATTTAAGATACTTGTCATTTCGAAATGAAAAATCTAAGTTGAATCGAGTAGATTAATATTAGATTATATGAATAATAAACGAGTGAATATCTTTGTCAGAAGCCGAGTAAGACGTAATTTGTGTTTATTTTATTGAAGGACAACAAATATAAATAGAATTTATTATTCTATACGAATCACATTTCATTTCAATGATTTTGTTGACAAATAAAAATTAATGATGGAAATATATTAGTCCGAATAAAAGCTTTTTTTTCTATTGATTCTAGAAAAATTTCAATAATGATATGTTTACATATCTTACATAAAACATGTTCATCTATCAGATTCAATCTTGAATCAAGTTCTTTTTTTATAAACTACACTCTGA